ACGCCATCTATGTTTCAGCTTCAGATAAGTGTATCTCCTTATATCACAGTCATCTGTAGTCTGTGACCCCGTAGGATTATAGATCGTACTTAGATGCCGCCACGAGTACTAAATAAGAGTCAGATGCACATTGTCTCGCATTACAAGTTCGTATTTTATCTTGAGTTTTGTCTTGTATTATGACCATTACTGAATTACTGTGTTTATCAGAATACTAGAGAATAAAAGCTTACAACAAGGTGTTGTTTTATTGAGTAGTTTATAAGGCATACATCACAGCCTGCATCTGCCTAAGCAAGAACAGGCTTCGTATTGTAACAGGTATCCTTACCAGGCATTATCGACTAAAAGGACACCTTAGTAAACTGAGAGTAGTAGAGGATAGTGAGTGCAGATTCTGTGAGGAGGAGGACGAAACCTCCATTCACATTCTAACTGAATGTGTAGTACTCCAGAATCCAAGGGCACTATACCTAGTAGGAGGATATCAACTAGAAAAGAGAGAGATTTGCCTAACACGAAGCCACTCCAAATCCTACACTTCCTTGAGAAGATAGGATTGGAAGGGTCGTTATAGGCATTGAGACATTTCCTTGGTGCATTAGCGACAGAAGGGGGCACAATAGATATTTTAAGTCGCAGTGTATTAACACCCCATTCCCAAGTGAATGTATTTACTTATTATCACGTCTCATAATAAATTTAATTTGTAAATTGTGTGGTAGGAAAATTGTTGCCAGTAAAATGGGTTTTATTTATCTGTAGTTAGGAATATTAGTTTTAGTTATCTAGGTACCTGTCACATAATTATTTGATTTATAAATTATGTGAAAATTGTTGGCAACAAAATTATTATAATCACTCTATTATCCATTATTAATTGTTATTAAACCAAATGAGTACAATAACACAACGTCTCTACAAAATTGCTTAACGTTGTCCTATTTCTAACTGACAAGAATTCATCGAAATTAAGTTTTAAAAGCCAAAATGTTTGAGTTTATTATTCAAAATATTGTGTATTAGAAAACCTTGGCAATATTTTAAAACGGTAATTATGAACTTATCACTTATTATATAAGTATCGCTTTATTCTAAACTGTTATTATAACATTTGTCTTTCTTTTGTTTTCCAGATCTAACCCAACTATTTAATAAAATGAATTACATAGGTACCTACCTATTATAAAAATTGTTTTTTTAACCCTACTTTCCCAATTATTAAAAACCATAAATATTTAGTGCACAAAATTTAATTAACTTAAAAGGGACTAACAATAAATATTCTATTTTGTATTACCTATATAAGCAGTACTCATAATAAATCAATAAAAATAATTTACAAAAGAATCGATATTATTAAAAAATATTAGTACAACAATTTAGAATTTATAAAACCTATCATTGCAACATTTATTGAAATTATTTGTGTATAAAAATAATGTATGTTTTTAAAAATATATGTATTGGTCGACTGAAAAATTCATTTTTGACGGTTTTCTATAAACATCTCATATTAGAAACATTGATTTGTTGAAATATCTCAAAACTAATAAAATAATATAAATAAAAAGCATTTCTATTGACATTTATTTGATACGCTACTGGACAATAAAAGTAAACAAACCCCGCTCTTCCCCTCCTAACAACTGGCTTGTATATGTTGCTTTCAAACAAACGCAATGTAAATTTTTGACATTCAGTTATCTATTATTATTTATTTATCAGAGGTTTTAACCTGTCAGATTAAAACAAGAAAACCGACAATTCCGAAGCAGAAGCGGATGATTAAAATGCACCTATTAAAAATATTGCGCCAAGATGTAGGCAACACGTAATATGGGATCAAAATGGTGAAGTTTTCTATCTCCTTTTAAAAGGCACTCAGAAAGCTGCGCAGTGAGACCATTCTCCGTATAGTAAAAGAAAATCAATTTAAGTATGTGTTTGATTATGTTTCACCCATAATCGAGAAAGGTTTCACAACTTCACTAGTAGCCCAATCTAGTGTTTGGAGTCAGTACCATAGGAAATGTCAGCTGTCGGTTTTGACCTTGGTCATTCACGTGAAACCTCTATGTGCTTTGTTAATGTACCCCAGAGTCACAATTTTCATGACATTTTCGTGAAATTTATATTTTCTGATTTGTCGATTTAATTTATTGACCATTAGCACTTTCCTAACATATTATTTAGAAATTAAAAAAAAAATAGAAATGTACGTTTTTATATATGTTATCGGAAAAAAGATAGAAAATGCTGACAAATGTGCTGGCAGTGCAATCATTTTGTGTGTGGTTTATAAAAAAACAATATGAGAATACTAAAAAATAGACTTAATATATTTTTATAATTTTAGGTGTCATTTATTTTTTATTTTAACCACATTTCTATTAATTTTTACTTCAAATAGATATGTTTTCTTTTCTATTGACTTTTGTTTATATTTTTTTTAAATAAACATATTGTCGGAAATATATCCAACATATTGTATTTATTCATAAGGCTAGTCCGGTCCCTGATAGCTAAACTAATTAAGTAACAATCAAACAAGTAACTCTTCAAAAATAGTATATGGATCGTAATGTTACATATCGGCATTGCGGTCTCTAACGCGTCGTATAAGAAACTATTTAAAAAAAGATTGTTATAATCTTTTTAACGAATCAAAAAACGACACCCGCAATAGTTAAAAATTAAAGTGCCAAGATCTTCAAAAGACAATAGGTGGGACCCAGATTGCTGCATAACTTATAAGTATTTTAATTCGGTCCCGACAATGGCCGGCATTTCATAGAAATGTAACTACACAATATATAAAAAAAGTAAATAATTTTTTGGACAAATCACAAACGTAAATATAGTTGGTACCAGCTGTTAATCAAATTAAGGAAAGGAATCAAGGAAAATCAAATTTGTCGCACAAGTTTCGTCAAGATTGCATGTATAATAAAAAGTAATCAAATAGTCCTATATATGTATATCTACATAAAACATTATTTCTTTATTTTAACTCACAATATTTTTATTTCATGGTTATCGTTGCATGTTCAAACAGACGCTATACTTTTAAGTATAAACAAAAGTAATAGAATCCTAGCAGTATATGTTATATGGTTGGAATTGCTTTTAAAAGTTTGGTTTCATATCTATAAAACTTGAGGAAGCTATTTAAATGTTGATAAGTTCGCTAAAACATTCAAAATTTATTGAAGAATCTAAAGCTTTTTACGACTCTGTGTTATTGGATATTGCAAAAGTATCAAACAGAAATAAATTAAGTGGTTTTTGTTGATAAGTTTACTAAAATTATTTATTTTAATTTTACGTTATGAATAAAAGTAAAAATATACCAAGTAATAAAGAAAAATCACTAACAAAACTCACTTGTGGCGTTGTTATTTACTTTTTTACAGTGACGGCTGGCTGCAGAGCTGCCAACAAATGCAAGTATCTCATCTATATTTTACAGAAAATATTTTATACATTATAAAATATAGGTAAAATAAATGTTATGGATAATCTCAATAATTTTAATTATTAAATAGTATCCATATCGCGCGAACGCATCCTATTCGCGATTCAAGCTAAGTGATACGCCCTCTGGAGGAAATTAGTAGAAGGTCCCTATAAGTAGGATGACGTTCAGTGTTGCCAGAAGCAGCAAAATTTCGTTACGTCGTCGGATTTTAGTTCTTGAAGAAATGGATAAGACCTTTTATTTAAGAATCAAAATTTGTGTCTAGTAATATGTAATCATACTTTTATTTAAGGATTTTTTATAAAATCGATTTATTATATTGATTTTTTTTTTAATTTCAGTTTATTTATTAATTTTAGTTTTAAAATCAGGCAACATCGGCGTTCGTGTTCATTGTTTACATTTTAATTTGTATCAATTACAATTAGAGTTTTTTGTTACTTTTTAGCTTTAAATTTGTTTATTTCTTATAGTATGTGATAGTATTTAAATTAAAAATGAAATCTGCGAAAAAGCCTCCAGCAAATTGCAATCTATATGGTGTTATTGTCAAAATCAAAACTGAAGTATTCATTATTTTTCAAGTGCAAGTCATAAAATTTTGTTTCTTACGATAAATGGGTATCTACAAATTCACAATATTGAAATTTTGCAAAACGTTGTTTAGAATCAAACTCCAATATGAGTTGTGACGGTTTTATTACCATTTACATGTATACAAAGTACTACACAATTCACTTCATGATATAAGAATAAGGATAGTAAGATTTTTAAAGAAGTTCATCAATAATAAACGTTTGGTACCTGATATGTCCTTTAAAGCACATAATAAAACATGTCCTGGGTTTAGTAAATATATATTTCTAGATGTTCTTGTAGCAACCAATAGGTCAATATTTCCAACAAATTAGTTCATACTACACATGAAAAATATTACATTTATAACGAAAGCACGAAAACTAAACTTAAATTAACACTAAATGAAACTCAAAAACACTATTATAAGAATATTATATTATTAAAAAACCACAAATACAAAATCCCACAACACGTAATTAAACAAACATCCTACTTATACGTGACAAATGAAAGGCGCGCGAAAATTAATTTGAATTGCGAATTGACAGTTCATAGCTGATAATAGGTACAGAGCGGACCAGTAGAAGACAACAAAATCTCGCCAGGTCATATTCATCCAGTGATGCCAAAAATGGAGAATTTTCTTCAATAGGTATGCAGAATTTTAGCTATTGAAGAAAAGAAGACTATTTTACGAAAACCACTAAAATATGAAGAAATTTTTTAAATTTACATGATTTTTCTCTCAAATCATTTAATCCTTTAACTTGATTTTAACATTATATTATTGATTTAAATGTAATTATTTTATTCATTTACTATGCATTCTGACATCTCTCGGTAAAATGGTATAACTACTACTCGAATTACATCACCGATATATATTCCCTTTCTGAAATTGCGTACCCATTTTCAAGAAACGGGTACCAATGCTGCAAAAATGTCTGTAACTGAAAATAAACATTTAAACTTAATTACCCGGTCTATCAAGATGGCGGAGTGTAGTGAAATCGCAGTTTTAACGTCTGAGCTGAATAAGCTCAAGAAAAATGAATTAATCGATCTAATTTTAACATTTAAAGTACCGATGTCTGTGACAAGTGATATATTAGTGAAATATATAAAAAAACTTATGGTCAGTGATAAACAACCAGTAAATAATGAAAAATTCCATGATAGCTACTCTAACCTCAATTATTGTGTTCAATGTGAAGGAAGTCTTAAAAAGTTAGACCAAATAAAATGTGAATTAGACACTATGAGTAAACTAACTTTTCACCTGGAAAAACGCACACAAGAACAGGCAGATTTAATTGCGTTATTAAAACAATTTAAAGATTTAAATTTCGAAACTAATAATACGCCATCTTGCAGTAAAAATTCAAATTCAACTTTAATATTAAATAGTTCTCATCGGGCTCAGTTTGGATCAACAGAGGACAACAAAAACTTAACAAAAGATAACAATTCTAAAGATAACAACCCACAAAAAAATTTCAATGAAGTTCTCAAAACAAATATACCAAAACAAACCATCAAAGAAAGCAGGTATGAAAGGTCAACAAACTCTGAGGACAAAAACAGAGGGAATTCCCTTTACAAAAAAAGATACAACAATAAAGCAATTATTGGAAGCAATGAAATTCAAAATAAACAATTTAAAATAGTACCGAGACAAGGATTTTTACATCTATCAAGAATTGGAAATGAGATAAAAAGTGATGACGTTTTAAATTTTTTAAAGAAAAGTGCCCCAGACATTAACTTTTCATGTGAAGAATGGCACAGAAATGATAGGGTGTCCACATATAAAGTTTCGTTTCCGATGGACAAAATAAACCAGATTTACGATCCAGCTATTTGGCCCAAAGGAGCAGAAGTTAGAAGATTTCAATTTAGACAGAATTTTCAGAAAGACACACAAGTGACTGTAAATATCTAGATTTCACATCAACAAAGAAGAATGACATATTTGATAAATTTCATCTACATAGTATTTTGCAATGTAAAAGATCGGTGAGTATATTTCATTTAAACGTGCAGTGTTTGTCTAACAAAGTGGAAATGCTCGATGTATTCTTAAACGAATTTAATTTTGATGTTCTTTGCATCTCGGAACATTGGTTAAATGAGATTGATCTTGGTAGCGTGAACTTGGATGGTTATATATGTGCTACTTCATTTTGTAGAAGTGAGAAATTGCGTGGCGGCGTAGCTATATTTCTAAAAAAACATATAAAAATAAGCGTTTTGGACGTAACAAAATTTAACTTCGAACAATCAAGTGAATTTTGCGCATTAGAACTTCCCGAGTTGAAATTGCTTATAGTGGTTGTCTATAGATCGGGTAAAGGAAATATTGATTTATTTTTTGAAAATTTTGAAAAGTTATTAGATATAATTGTAACACTTGAACGAAATATTATTATCTTGGGTGATTTTAATATTGATTTTAAAGTTACTTCGAGAGGTAATACCGAGCTCAATTCTATTTTAATGTCTTTTGGTTTAAAAACTGCGATTAATGAATATACTAGAGTCACGGCTACATCTTCCTCATGTTTAGATAACATAATTACAAACTTAGACGATTCTTCAATAAATTCGGGTGTTTTTGAACCATGTATTTCAGACCATCGAGGCCAATTTATAACGGTGAAAAACAATATTGAAAATCAACGACAAATTTTTTACAACAGGATTTTCTCAAAAAAATCAATTGATAAAATCAGATATTCCCTAAACTCTATTGACTGGGTTATCTTTGAAACAATTTATGATGCAGAGTATCTTGCAAATTTTTTAATAAAAACCTATAGTGATTTGGTTGTCAAATTTTGCCCACTTAAAAAATGCGTAGAACAAGCAAAAAAATCACCGGTAGTTTGGTTCAATGAAAATATAAAATCTATGAGAAATACTCTATCAGCTCTTAAAGTTAAAGCAGAAGTAAGCAAACAGTCGAGTGATTCAAACACTTATAAACAATTTAGAAATCAATATTATCTTACACTGAAAAATACCAAAAAAACTGCTTATAGTAATTACATAACAACATCTAGCAATAAGTCGAAGGCCTGCTGGCGAATAATTAATTACGAAGGAAACAGAGTTGTCTCTAAGAACAGTAATATTAATCTTAATCCTGACGCATTTAATGATTTTTTTACAAATATTTCTCTTGAAATAATTAAATCGCTTCCAAAAGTATCTAATAAAAGCCTTTTATCTTTTAAAAACTTTCCTGCACCAGTTGGATCATTTTTTTTAAATCCGGTCACACAAAATGAAGTTTTGAATACAATAAAATGCTTAAAGAACTCTAATTCTCTTGACGTTCATGAACTAAACGTTAAAATTATAAAACAAACTACTGATTTGTTGTTAGATCCTTTGACCAATCTGATAAATGTTATATTTAGTACTGGAGTCTTTCCAGATTGTTTTAAATATTCGAAAGTTATACCATTACATAAAAAAGGCGATAAGAATATCGTGGACAACTATCGTCCAATTTCAATTTTATCTGTATTTAGCAAGATCGTTGAAAAAATCATTAAATCACGTCTTTATAGTTATTTTGAGTCAAAAAACTACTTTAGTGTCACTCAATATGGTTTTCGAACCAACAAATCAACGGTTCAAGCTGTAACAGATGTTGTTCATGGAGTGGTGTCTGGCCTTGAGCAAGGTAGTCACACAGCAGTTACTCTTTGCGACCTGTCGAAAGCTTTCGTCTGCATTTCTCATGACATCTTGATTGAGAAGTTAAATTACTACGGCGTCCGAGGAAGTGCGTTAAAACTTTTAGAATCTTATTTATCTGGACGCTTTCAGGCTGTCACATTTCAGAACCAAAGGTCAAATTTTAGTTCGGTTAAGCATGGAGTTCCACAGGGCTCTGTCTTAGGACCATTATTATTTATTATATATACCAACGATTTAAGTAATTATATGGGTCCTTTTAAATCTGTTCTATTTGCAGACGATACCACTTTTGTGTACTCTGCAAAAAATGAAATTGAATTGAAAAATACTGCAGAAACTATTATCGCTAAAGCTGAACATTGGTTCTTAGCTAACAATCTCATGTTAAATCAAAGTAAATCTCAGGAATTGCAGTTTTCTTCGGTTACCGATTCTCAAAATTGCAATAGTGCTAAGTTACTTGGAGTTATGTTAGATAGTAATTTAACTTGGAGAATTCATATAAATAAATTAAAACCTAAATTATGCAGTACCTTATATCTGTTGAGGCAGCTTAAAACTATAACAGATCGTAACATATTAAGAACGATTTACTTTTCCCTATTCCATTCCCACATAAATTATGCCACTGCACTTTGGGGTAACAGTTCAGATGCAATTTTGATTTTTCGGCTGCAGAAGAAGGCTGTTAGAATCATAACTGGTTCCAAATTTAGAGAACATTGTCAGCCCTTGTTTATTCAGCAAGGAATAATGCCTCTACCAACGATTTATATATTTAGTGTCCTTTTGGAAATTCATAAGAAATTATCATGTCTTTCTAGGCAGTCCGACATTCACAAATATCCTACCAGACAAGCTAACAACTTAAGAATAAATAGATATCGTCTAAATAAATCAAAAAACAATTCCCTCGACCTTGGTCTTTATAATGTATTGCCATCCGAGTTTGGGCTGCTGGAGTTTAATTCATTTAAGAAAAAATTAAAAACATTTATGTTGACACATTGTTTTTATTCCGTAGAGGAATATATCGATCGGTGTAAACTTACATAGTTCTTAAACCTTCTACTCTATTTGTTTTCTCTTATTTTTTATGTATACTCACCTAACTTAATTTGAGTTATTTTTATTCTACTTAACAATTATATGTATGTAGTTATTTCATTGTGTAGTTCTGTATTTTATGTTTAAAAATAAGCTGTTATTTTAATATGTACGTTTTGTGACTTGCTACAAACATATATTGTAATATGTAACGTAGTCAAATAAAATTTACTTTACTTTACTTTACTTTACTTTACTTTACTTTACTTTACTTTACTTTACTTTACTTTACTTTACTTTACTTTACTTTACTTTACTTTACTTTACTTTACTTTACTTTACTTTACTTTACTTTACTTTACTTTACTTTACTTTACTTTACTTTACTTTACTTTACTTTACTTTACTTTACTTTACTTTACTTTACTTTACTTTACTTTACTTTACTTTACTTTACTTTACTTTACTTTACTTTACTTTACTTTACTTTACTTTACTTTACTTTACTTTACTTTACTTTACTTTACTTTACTTTACTTTACTTTACTTTACTTTACTTTACTTTACTTTACTTTACTTTACTTTACTTTACTTTACTTTACTTTACTTTACTTTACTTTACTTTACTTTACTTTACTTTACTTTACTTTACTTTACTTTACTTTACTTTACTTTACTTTACTTTACTTTACTTTACTTTACTTTACTTTACTTTACTTTACTTTACTTTACTTTACTTTACTTTACTTTACTTTACTTTACTTTACTTTACTTTACTTTACTTTACTTTACTTTACTTTACTTTACTTTACTTTACTTTACTTTACTTTACTTTACTTTACTTTACTTTACTTTACTTTACTTTACTTTACTTTACTTTACTTTACTTTACTTTACTTTACTTTACTTTACTTTACTTTACTTTACTTTACTTTACTTTACTTTACTTTACTTTACTTTACTTTACTTTACTTTACTTTACTTTACTTTACTTTACTTTACTTTACTTTACTTTACTTTACTTTACTTTACTTTACTTTACTTTACTTTACTTTACTTTACTTTACTTTACTTTACTTTACTTTACTTTACTTTACTTTACTTTACTTTACTTTACTTTACTTTACTTTACTTTACTTTACTTTACTTTACTTTACTTTACTTTACTTTACTTTACTTTACTTTACTTTACTTTACTTTACTTTACTTTACTTTACTTTACTTTACTTTACTTTACTTTACTTTACTTTACTTTACTTTACTTTACTTTACTTTACTTTACTTTACTTTACTTTACTTTACTTTACTTTACTTTACTTTACTTTACTTTACTTTACTTTACTTTACTTTACTTTACTTTACTTTACTTTACTTTACTTTACTTTACTTTACTTTACTTTACTTTACTTTACTTTACTTTACTTTACTTTACTTTACTTTACTTTACTTTACTTTACTTTACTTTACTTTACTTTACTTTACTTTACTTTACTTTACTTTACTTTACTTTACTTTACTTTACTTTACTTTACTTTACTTTACTTTACTTTACTTTACTTTACTTTACTTTACTTTACTTTACTTTACTTTACTTTACTTTACTTTACTTTACTTTACTTTACTTTACTTTACTTTACTTTACTTTACTTTACTTTACTTTACTTTACTTTACTTTACTTTACTTTACTTTACTTTACTTTACTTTACTTTACTTTACTTTACTTTACTTTACTTTACTTTACTTTACTTTACTTTACTTTACTTTACTTTACTTTACTTTACTTTACTTTACTTTACTTTACTTTACTTTACTTTACTTTACTTTACTTTACTTTACTTTACTTTACTTTACTTTACTTTACTTTACTTTACTTTACTTTACTTTACTTTACTTTACTTTACTTTACTTTACTTTACTTTACTTTACTTTACTTTACTTTACTTTACTTTACTTTACTTTACTTTACTTTACTTTACTTTACTTTACTTTACTTTACTTTACTTTACTTTACTTTACTTTACTTTACTTTACTTTACTTTACTTTACTTATTAAATCAAACAATTTGTATGCGTAAATGATGGTGTAGTTTACAATTTTTTAATGTGCCTGTAAAATAAATAATTCCTGTTCTTTATTTTTAAATATTTTATTTGTTTACCATTAAAGATACCCTTTCAAAATTATT